AAGCAAGTTAAACTCTAAATGGGGCGTTTCGTCGGCAGCGTTAGCCACAAAGCGAAGTAGGCGGGTTATGTAGACGGTGGGTAGAGAGCGGACGATGTGGGGGATGTCGCGTGGCGGGATGGATTCGTAGACGGTGCGGATAAGGGAAGATTCGTTAAGGCGGAAGGACATTATTAGTGCTTTAAGGAAAGAAGATTCTGAAGGGTCTGTGGTAGATGATGTCGATGAAGCGGACTTTGCCGCTGCGACAGTGGCGATGATGCTATCTGGAGTGATGGAAATGTCAAGATCGAAGGGATCGAAGACCAAGTCTGTGTCAAGGCTATAGACTAGTAGGCCTTCGGTGGATGAGGCGCAGAAAGACCGGCCAGTCGGGGAGAATCTCGCAGATGTTACGCGAATCTCAGGTCGTGTGTTGCGAGCCCCTGCGTCTCCGCGTTTAGCACCGGGAAGAGTCCGGTCGATTCGGTCTTCGAGATCAGACGCTTCCCCCGTTTCGTCAATAAGGGCTCGTGGTCCAGCCTCGGTCATGTTCTTGCTATTGAGGAACTCCATCGTACCATCAATCGAGGTATTAACTGATACTGTAAATTTCTTAACTAGAGAGCCTGTTCCAACATCGTATAAGCAAATATATTTGCTGTTCCCGGCGGCGAGTAAGCATGACCCATCTGCACTGTAGGTTATTGTTGTAAAAGTTTTCGTGCCAGCCGCGTTTGCCGCTGTGCGGCGATCCGTTATCTTGCGACCACCGGAGATGTCCCGCCGGCCATCGATACCTGCTTGTTGAATAGCATCTTTGACGGACCAGAATGTCAATTGCCCATCAAGAGTGGAGGCCGCGACTTGTTGTCCATCGGGCCTAAAAGCCACGCATAGTAGATCTGACTGTAATTGCAAGGGCTCACTGGTTTGGCTCCGTGCGAAAATATTCCATAATCGCACTGTACGATCCCAGCTACCGCTCACTAAATGACTTCCATCTGCCGCAAACGAGAGAGATGACACTGGTCCTTCATGACCCGCTAGTCGATCAAGAAGCTGCCCTGTTTGCACAGACCAAACATGGATGTCAAACGAATCTAAAGAGCCAGCGCAGACTACTTCTCCGCTTGGATCCACAGCAAGAGATGAAAACTGTTGCCTGGAAGGAGCGGTAAAAGTTCTGAAATTTCGATATCGGATAAGATCCCATGCTCTGACAGAGCCATCTAAGGATGCAGTAAACAGGACATTTCCTTGTTTTGTGAACTCGCATGCAGTTACAGCAGCCGTGTGTTCGGTAAACGTAACCACGCAAAACCCTGAATTGATGTCCCACACTTTGATCTTCCCATCATCTGCGGCGGTAATGATCTTTTGACCATCAGGAGAATAGACCAAAGAATTCATGGAGTTCAGGTGGCCCTGTTGCTTCAAAATATAGGACTCCGACTGCCACTCCCAGACCAAAAGTTGGCCCAGTTTGGCTGAACCCAAGGCTAGCCATTCGCCAGAATTGTTCACAGTCACATAGTCGATGTTGCTTTGAGAAACGCTACGCATGGTCAGAACACCTTGTAGCGAATGGGCGTACAGAGCTTATCAAGCATACCTGAGGAGATGTAGTTGGTTGAATTCCGGCAGTTCGTAAAGAGCAAAGATTCCATTCGAAAAGCCTACCACCAAAAGATTCGTTTTTGGGTGGAAGGCCGAACAGGTCAACTTTGCGTTTTGCTGCATGAAATAATCCTTCTTCGTTATCCTCCAATGAAGGATTGGACTCTCCGATGTAGATTCAGGCTCGCCCGGTTTATCTCCGTATTGCCATCTAAACAAAGCGCCATCTTTGCTAACGGTGTAAATCTAGAATGTGTTAATCTCTAGCTTCTCAGAGCGCTGGGATTGGCATTCTCACGGATTCCTGATCGTCCGAGAACCACGCGTCTATTACTCCCTCGCGGTGACCAGCTAATGTAGTGGGCTCAAAGCCTTCTTCTGGATCCAGACTCCATATTCTGGCGGTCAAATCTTTGGACGCAGTCAAGAAGAACCTCGAATCGCCCGACCAGCGTATATTTTGAACGACATCAAAATGGCCTGCCAAGTCTCTGTATAGCACAAACGGCGCGAATTCCAATTCACCGCTGGCTCCTGTGCCCGGCGTAGAAGGGGTGCGCCATATCTGAACTCTTCTGCCAACACCAACCACAAAATGGCGCCCGGACGGTGAAAAGGAGAGAGCTGAAACGGGAGATTTGAAGGAGAAATGATAGATAGTTAACCGGCGGGGGAAATTGGTCAAGATAGCCTTCCCTTGCTCGTCTACCGAAAGTAGAAGTTTGCCATTGGGTGAAAGGTCAATGCGGGCGATATTGGACCGGTGGGAGAATGGAAGGGTATAGGATTTATTGCTGGAGAGTAGTGAGTTAGCAAGACAGCAGGCAGTTTCATAACAGAGCAGTCTTGGCAACCTACTGCACCAGATCAAAAACAGAGACTTTATTCCCTACAGGGGAGAGCAAGCATGTCCCGTCCGGCGTGAAGAGGAGGTTTCCTTTGCGATAGACGGTGCCCAGAAGGTTGGAAAACTAGGTAGCGTGACATCAGCAACAAGCGAGCGGATACTAAGCGGAAACCCGAACGGCACGGACTCACCTTGAAATCTGTCTTCATCGTCCCCAGCGAATATTAGCTATCCTCAATCGCCGCCCTCGCGTTTCGCTGCTCTTCCCACCGCCGCAGCGTCTTCCGCAGCGAAAAAGCACCAAAAATTCCCGCTTAGTCATCAACCACAGGATACCGGGGGTAAGGATACTCCGATGCCGGTGAAGGTTAATGCTATGCGCTAGTCCTGATCTATCGCTAGCGCGGTCCGGGGTGTTTACCTCTTGGCCGAATTTGGCGTTTCAGGGGCAGCGAGCATCTTACGGCACTTCGTCCAGCACAGGAGAAGAGAAATCAAACGACGGCCCTCACTGCTCATCACCCTCTCGCTTCCTGGCTATCCCGCCTTTGGAGTGCCCCGTCTGCCTTCTCTCGTTCCCTACTGGCTTCATTTCGGCTGTATCTTCAATTTTTTTTAAAGTTTTTCTCTTTTTCGGAGCCAATTGATTGCTGCTTGGTGTTTTAGCCCGCACGACAAGTTCCAGCTCCCCAATGGCGCCCACGTCTGAGACCGCGACCCCTATTGGGATTGCCAACGTGAGTCCAAGTTTAACTGTCAAAATTACTGTTAAATATGCTAACTGAACTTCGCGAATAGCTCCCAAACCAGCGGTATGACCACAGAAGCCCCGTCACTTCGGACCGTGCATATTTCGGCAGCTAATAAAGTATAGACACAAGATCGTTGCAAAGCGAGGGGCAGCTTTTACTATTATGGTATAAGAGACCGGCTTAATATCCTTTTCGATTTCACTCAGTTGACGGGTTGACAGGTTGCTGGAGAGTCAGGCTTGGGAAAGACGACGTTCATTAACACTCTTTTCTCAACCACGATCAAAAACTACGCCGATCACAAACGCCGACATCAGAAGCAGATTGATAAAACTGTCGAAATCGAAATTACAAAGGCCGAGCTGGAAGAGAAATTCTTTAAAGGTAGGAAGTTGGCTGCACCCGCACAACACATGCCCGAGAGTTAACCCCTCGTAGTCCGGCTAACCGTTATTGATACGCCTGGCTTCGGTGACTATGTCAACAACCGCGATTCATGGATGCCAATTATCGAATTCCTTGACGACCAGCATGAATCCTACATGCTGCAGGAACAGCAGCCCCGCCGTACTGACAAGATCGATCTCAGAGTCCATGCTTGCTTGTACTTCATCCGCCCCACGGGACACACGCTGAAGCCCCTCGATATTGAAGTGATGAAGCGTCTCAGCTCACGGGTTAACTTGATCCCAGTAGTTGCCAAAGCAGATACTTTGACTCCCTCTGATCTCGCACGTTTCAAGCAGCGGGTAAGCAATTGTACCTCGTAATGTCTGGATTACATCTTTACTGACTCGGAATTAGATTCAAGCCGTGATCGAAGCCCAGGGTATTAAGATCTACCAACCACCCGTGGAAGAGGATGACGAACAAGCCGCCCAGCACGCTCGGAGTCTGATGGCTGCTATGCCGTTCGCCGTTATCGGCTCAGAAAAGGATGTGAAGGCTGCTGATGGCCACATCGTCAAGGGCCGTCAATATTCTTGGGGTGTTGCGGAGGTTGAAAACGAGGAACATTGCGATTTCAAGAAGCTTCGCTCTATCCTTATCCGAACACACATGTTGGACCTAATCCACACCACAGAGGAACAACATTACGAGGCTTACCGTGCACAGCAAATGGAGACGAGAAAGTTCGGAGAAGCTCGACCAAGAAAATTGGACAATCCCAAATTCAAGGAAGAGGAAGAGACTCTGCGAAAGCGATTCACAGAGCAAGTCAAGATAGAAGAGCAGAGATTCCGACAATGGGAACAGAAGCTCATCGCGGAGAGAGATCGTTTGAACAAGGATTTGGAAAGTACCCATGCAGCGTATGTGAACCCTCATCCCGTGTCCTACAGACGTACTGTTCCAGGTACCTAACTGTCTTGCAGTATCAAGCAGCTGGAACAAGAACTGGAGCAAATGCAGGGCTCTGCAGTTCGCAGCCACGGTCGTCGTTAAACCAAACTTGCTGGTTTTTAGTTTTAAACCCCTTACTTCGGATAGCAGTTTTCTGTACTTTGTGAACCTTTATTATTTTTCGCAAGGTTGTATTAACCTAGACTGGAATCCCTGCTGCTTTTACGTCAAAAGGACTGATCCATCTTTTGACCTTTATATCCCTAATAGTTAGCGATTCTTGCCAGATCCATTCATAATAATGCCATCTGTTCGCTTGTAAAAACATCCTAGCTTAGTTTACAAATTCTGAGTCGGTTTCGGGAGGTTATTAGAATTGGGATGACGCAGTGTTTGCTTTCCCAGGATTTGAGTTTGGTCGATCACCAGGCTGCCCGGAGTACAAAAGTAGGTTTGGTCGCAAAGCAAGCTCGCGTCTCACCTCTCGACCAAAACATTCAGGTAAATGTCGATGAGAACGCAGAGCTTTCCGACTGCCCGTCTGCATACTATAAAAACCCATAATGGTAAGAAGAAGCCCCAATTAGAGTCTTTGGATAGCCCACTCGCGCCTCGTCCACTTGGGTGGTAGCTTAGGACAGCCTTGATAAATTCAGCGAAACAAGTCGCAACTGACAAAAGGCTTCATTGCAGCACCGGTAAATGCGGTTGCCTTCTCCAGCTCACCAGGCACTTACATCCTCACTGGCTCTTCCGATCGCGATGTCCATCTTTCCCGCGCCGTCCCACAATCTTCCTCCGCGTCGGCCAACACCGTCACAACTACACCCATCCAGAAGTACGAGGCCCACGGGTATTCTGTGTTAGATCTTGCTGTGACGGCAGACAATGCACGATTTGTAAGCGTCGGTGGAGATAAGCAGGTATTTCTGTGGGATGTGGAAACTGGTTCAACTGTAAGGCGATGGAGTGGCCATGATGCAAGGGTCGAGGCGGTGGAATTTGGCGGGGAGGCAGACTCTATCGTTGCTTCCGGTATGTTCTTTGATATAATGGCGAAGAGCGTCAGGATACATCGCGAAGGGCGCCGAGCAAGAGCTCATAGTGGGTGGGCTCTGATGTTAAGCGTGCCGGGAACGATAGGAGGCTATATGATCTCAACAGTTTAGAGCTTCCATTGGCTCTGCTGACTTGCTAACGATCTATGGGTTTAGGTAGCGCTGACACCACTGTCAAGATCTGGGATACCCGCTCCCTGACCTCAAAACCTATGCAGACCCTAACGGAAGCCACTGACACTGTGTCGTCCGTACATATCCACACGCCTTCATGCTCCATCATGAGCGGAAGCTACGATGGCAGGATCCGCACATACGATCTACGCATGGGTGTTGTGAAGGTCGATGTCATGGCCCATCCTGTTACAAGTATCCGCTGCTCTGCCGACGGCAACGTAATCCTTGCTTCTTGTCTAGATGGCCGAATACGAATAGTGGACAGAGCCGATGGATCGGTCTTGAAAGCTTTTGGCGGTGAGAGCGGAGGTACAGGACGGCAGCCAGCATATAAGAATACAGAACTTCGAATAAGGTCGACCTTTGCGAACGGAGACGGCGCTGTCCTTAGCGGAAGCGAACCAAGTGACCAAACCCCAGGAGCGCATATTTTTGCCTGGGACGTTTTGAGTGGCAATGTCATAAATGTTGTTCCTGTTGGTGAAGATGTCAAAGTCGTGAGCTGTGTTGCATGGAATGAGAAGGGGAAAAATTGGGCAGCAGGATGTTCCAACGGTATGTCGGATTGTCTCCCGCGAATCTTTATCTGAGATTGACAACCTTTTTAACGCACTCACAGGGAGTGTTCAGGTATTTGGGTAGCCTCCTTTCCTTGAACCTTGGTGGCTGAAGCGAATATGTCAACTCTGCAGTAATAACTGTGATCAGGGTCGGAACTGCAGGGGCCAACAGCATGGTTGGGACATTTGAGGCTTTATCTTGCTGATGGGAGACTAAAGAACTACATACATACATGCTCCACCATATATGTAGAAGCACAGTTGTCTGGAGTAAACTGTCAGTCTCTCTTTGATTTATGTTTGCATTGGAAATCAAAAATAAGATGCGCCTGAACCCACCCCGCAACCTCTGACACAATGAGCCAAACCATAACCCTCAATTCCTCCAAAACCATGAAACTATAAGCTCAGCTTATGCAGTCTGTCTGTTGTTTTTGTTTCTCCTCTAAGATACAATATCCATGGGCTTCTTTGGACTTCCAAGGTGCGGCTTTTGGTCTTCAGGAGAGGGAACCATCCATCTTTGTCTGGTTTCTTATCCATTCCCAATGAGTATAGACTAGCCTTTGTTTTCACTCACCGAAAATCTAGTATCCCATCACAACATCAGGTTCTAATGCAGGACATCCTAAATTCCAGCAGATATCAAACAGAAGCCAGCAACCCAATTCACCCAGACATGGCTTATGCTGCTTCAGATCCTTTTTGTGGAAATCCTATAAAATCTTACTTGGGGGCTAGAGCGATGTTGCCGAAGCTCGGGTTATAGCATGCAGATATTCTCCCACGGCCGCGTCATTTGATCCTAGACAATTTGCTGGCTTTGGAGAAGTGTGTCATGCCAGTTTCCCACATACTAGTTAGCAGGGAACACCTTTCTTTGTTTGTTGAAGGGACATTTCCACCCAGTCCCGATGAGATGATGCATTAGAAAATGCCCACTTGACTGTGGAAGAGCAAAGCTGGCTTTATCTTGATCTTATTTCACTTCCAATAGCCCATAGTCTGATTGCTGTGGTAGTCCCGTCGACTGGATAGCAATTGACCCGGTTCTCGAGGCTTTTTCCGTGCTCCTCTCTAACTAATAGATCCTATAATAAAACGACCAGTAGTAGGCGCTACATCAACAGATAAATCAGTGCTAAAAGCAAGGGGCAAAAGAACGTATTCCAGCCTAAAATTAAAATTATATACGACTACTCAACGACCTGAGCCCCAACGGCCCTCTATATAAGTATGTACATCGCTTCCAGAGGTCGCGGGGTTGCGAATGAAGGATCAAATTGAGAAACTGGAGAGCTTAGGTATGAAGGGTATATTTCGTTGCTGGCCCTTTAATGCTTCACAGAGCATGGCGAAATTCCGCTCGTCCAACTCTCTGCAGCTATGAGATGCATATATGTCAGTTATTTGATGCATTATCAAAAAGAAATAGAAACGTACGGGAAAGAATCCTATACTCACGACGGGCTCTAAAGAGAGAATCTCCCAGTTTCTCGTGCACTGTGTGCCTCTCGGGCAAACCGGTTCGACATTTATCGACCATTTTTCTTTCCAAATTTTTCCTGAATTTCCGTTTTTGTAAATCGACGAGTCTTTGCCTGAAGCATGGTCGCTATTTCATCCAAACTCATATCAATCTGATTACCAATAGGGACAAGGCACTTTGCAAGGTACATGTAGTCCCTTCGTAAGAGCCTGATTGTCATCATCATATAATCGATATTGCGAAACACCAGAGCATGCTCCGTAGAGTAGCGCTGTTTTTGTTTAAGAAATGCAACTGGATGTTCGCGCCAATGTCTCCTTGGATGAAGGTGATGCGAGGTGTGATAGCCATCATTGTAGCAAAAGCGGTTACTCTGCAATCAAAACATTAACCTCTAGGACAGGGAAGCCTGTTACAACAAACTTACTGCCACATCAATCAGGGTGATACTGGAGCGAAAGTCAGAATTCGGGTCGGCCTCGTCAACAAATGCATGTTGACCCCAGTTGCCAACCATCAATGCTAGCCGCAGGAGGAAAAATGGTAGGATAAAAGCAAACAAGGTCGCATTCCAATGGAAGCGTGCAAGAAAATAAATAACAAGATAACTCGAAATTTCCCAAAACGCCGCTTTGATGCCCAAAATTGCTTTGCCGTTTTGTAAGAAGTAGAGTGGAAGTTCAAGCCAGATGAAGAAAAGAAATCGGCCAAGGTAGCAAAGAAAGTTGAATAAATCATCACGCTGATAGTAGATTGTGGAAGAGAGGTCACCAGGGCCATTTCCCTCGACATGATGGTGTTTTACATGGTGATAATAATACGAATTCCAAGTGTGGCCCATAAGCGGGTTTGTAATGTATGGGAAGAGCGAGTCAATCAATTGATATTTTCGGGCAAGGATACCACCCATATGAATGTGCTGGTGCATCATGAGAGTGTATGTACCAACATAGTAAGTCTGCATGACCCAGTGTAGTACTCCATGAAGCCAATGAAAGCGGTAATACAGGAAGATTGCACTTGGGAGAGACGTTGTGAGATATAGGAGCAAGTGTGTAAGCATTACTACATCCGTCTCCACCCGAACAACTTTCTTTGCGAGACGGATATAAGGCTGCATAAAATAATCGTTCACGAAGACAGGCAGTTTAATATGCTTGATATCCCAAGTAAAAAAGACGGTTGGCTCAAAGTCTTCATGAGAGGGATCGTTCAGCGCATTTAGCAATTTAATCGTGGCATCGTCATCTTGAACAAAGCCATCGTCTTTAATATTAGAACCTGAAAGAGAGTTAGACCGGTATTGCTAGCTGTTGAAGGTTAGGGGCTCACTCACTCCGCTTAGAGGAAGACTCGATCTCATTTTCTACACTTGATGTGCTTTGACAGTGTAAAAAGGGGGCGGAGGCCGGATTCTTGGTGCGGTCAATATCTCGCAGAAGGTTCTGAAGCACCAGTAAATCCGGCCGGGTCAGGTAGGGATTAATGTAAGTGGCCGGATCCATCATTGGATTTCGGCTTAACAGCCCTGAAGAGATCGAAGATAGGAGTCTGCCGACGAAGTCAATATGTCGTCGTGAAAGTGGAAAATCTTGAAAACATGATCGAATTCGCAGATGAGAGCAAACCGGTGTTAAAGTTGCTGCCTCCTTGGCTCCGCCATTAAAGCTTTCTTGCCCCACCAGGCTGGCCCAGGTGGGTGGCATGATTGGCCGGGAATCGCAGCTAAGCAGCGGCAATCCCTGCAAGTCCTAGGGCACTAGGGGGAAATTTCCGACCCGAACTCCTGTCAACCCCCCCCTTGGAGCTGGTGCGCATCGGATATACCGAATCTTTTCTTCAATGAAACTCTCTCATCTAGGGATAACGCACCAAAACACCGGCATATTGGAAACCAGGATGCCGCACCTCCAAATTTTGATGGCTTCTCCTCCAAAATAGCATATGCTTTGACCTCAATGCGCATGAGGGTATTGTTTCCTGCTTAATCTTTTTAACCAACAATACCTGCCAAGAGAGCACCGACCGATAATTTAACAGCACAATTGGCTTTAGAGCGAAGAAACCGTCGCTCAGGCATCAACAGCATGGGCCATTTTGCATTTAATTATGGTCTTCAAGGTAGGACACACGCACACAAAGACAATCAGCTTCTACCCGCTTAGATAGGCCAGAAGGACTTAGGAATGACGATGAGCATCAGGAACAGATGCTCTTTGTTGACAGTGGGTGTTCTCTCAGGATATAATCCAAGAAGTCCACTTGAATATGTCTTTGAGTGCCTTGTGGAAAATGGCTTCCAGCCTTTTGCAAATTCAAGAGAGTGCTATCGGCAAGGTATATTCTCCCAGGTGCATTGGAATGGACCAATTTTTATTAAATAATGGATTTCATCCTGGCAAGAGAAAGAATTGAAAGCCATGTTGTTTCGGCAGATGAAATTCGGTCTCGTTCCTCCCGGGTGACATCTCAAAGTATGTTCGGAGAGTAAAAGTAGGTCTGAAAGGCCTAGAGTAATGAGAGAGATATGGAATATGGGTGTTGCAGCGGTCGTATTCGTCATCTCTAAGCGCTGTTTGGGCTCACCGCGGATCCGAAAGACGATTTGGGCAGAAAGCGTCTCTGTTCAAGCACGACGGTGGTTGAGGCCTCGACGCAGAAGACATGCTAAAAAATATCATTGTTCGAAATTGTGCGAAGGAGAAGAGCGGATAACGTTGAAGTTAATGGGCATCTCAGCTGTCATCGATAGCGAAAACTCCGTAGGCTTGTCGGTCAACGGACGCTGAAGTTGGGTTGGTCTCGGTATCGCGTGGCGGCGGTCCGAGAAGATTTTGCAAGTCACAACCACACCTGGTCGAAAATGGAGTACCCGTTCGGTAGGGATTGGTGCCGTTACACCATTTTACAAACAGAATCTTACAGGCGATGGTAACATGATTCCCGTACGCGGTAACTACCTACAGGCGTCCGGAGATGGCAGTATGGCGGTGGTTGGTATTGAAGTGCCAAGTTCATACATTAAATCATCTGTAAGTTGGTAAAACAGCGTGACTAGCACCTATCCGGCTTGAAGTCTTGGATGGTTGAAGCTACATGTGCATTGGCTTGCGCTGAGTTGTTCGCAATGACAAGCGCCGCAACCCACTGTCGTCATCCTGGACTTGAGTCGAGCGGAATGACTCCGTGGTTTGTCTTGACGGTCTCGCAACGGGAAATCTTGGTGAGGAATCCCGCCAGGCTGACCAGCGAAATATCGTCGGTCTGCGCTGAAGCGCAGATCTGCCCGCCCTATGGTTGGTTGGTGACAGTGTTGTTTGCCCTGTTTGCATGTACCCGCGGTCACTCTCAAAAATACACTAACAGGAAGGTACCATGTCCGTTGTGGAATATTGTGGGGGAAAAGTGCAATCATGATGCTCCGTCAATTGCGAGGATGATGCGGATTCCGCAAGCAATTAACGTGAGCTTAGCCCATGCTGGCTGGTTCAGTACCGTGAACAGATGGAATATGGTACGCCATCCTCTCGACAAGCTTCTCCAATGTCTGATGCTTGGCTCGCTTTGGGCGGGCCTTTGGATACTACTACTGGAGTTGCCAGGGATCAGTCGCGAAAAGAAATGCTTTCAACCTGCTCAGTGGGAGCATATTTGGCTCCTCCAAGCTGTCGAGGCCATTCCCTTCCCTCTCTACGCTGTATCTATGCCTACTCTGGATATCCCAAGATATCTTAATCATTTCGTGCCCTTGGGTCTTTCACGGTAACTTAAGAGTCCTAGGGCGCTTTTGTTTTGTTTACGTATTACCTCTCACAGAGTACCTTGTACATTGGGATGGAGATACAGACACTCAGGAACTGGTTTAACTGTGACTAGCATGCGTATCGCATTTCACTCATCCCACCAGTGGCAGATAGCGATATCTGAACTAGCCTTACAATAAGGTCCAAGAAGATACCTCTAGACAGATATCTCTCTTAAGATATCAGAGCATCCCATGACCTCACGCACCCGTGTCCACGTGAAAGGATGCCGGAGCGATTAACCAACTCTTAGCAGTTATAACCAACTCTTAGCAGTTAAACTCGTCGCAAGACAACTAAAACCGTATTGCTCCGTGCCCCATTGCAATATGAAATGCCCACAGACTACCACAAGATGTTGGGAGAAAAGTGCTGGATCCCTAGTGCACGCCGGTTTCTTCTTCTTGGTTTTCTATCGTCTTGGGTTGTCTGGCCCAATATCAATGCTATATACATCTGCATGCGGCGGTCGGACTGCGCTAAAACCTATCACCCAAAGTGGGAACTTGGAGAAGCCGATCAACTTTACTTGCTAGGACGATGCGGTCCAAAGAAGCTCATATCATGCTGTCCGGAGATTCCGTCGAGAAAGGTGTATAGAGAGGCCTGTTGGAGCCCTCTTGCATCGGATCGACTTGATCAACGCTCCAGGCTCTAGAGTTGGGCCCCTGGAAGAGGTAAAAAATTACTAAGTCGACTGACGTATCCGGGTTGCAACTTACAACCATGTTCGTTAAGAAAATCCTTTTTTCGTTCTTCCTCTACGCACTTTTTCGTCTGAGCTTGTTGTGGGTCGGAATGTTCCCACAAATCTCAAGGCACTTTATGATAAGACAAAGGTCCTTATCAATCATCCGACTATGTGAATAAGTGCTGGTATACAGCAGTCCCGCCTTTGTGATCATCCACCGGGCAAGAAATTCTAAAACGGCTATGGTAAAAGTAAGATTGATTGCCCTCATTTACCTTTTTGAGCATACATAATGAATAATTTGAAGAGTCTTTATCCAAAATTTGGAGACAAACTCGTAACAAGAATCCGGGCCTAGGCTGCGGCGGCTAGTCAGATAATGAAGTGAAATATATGGTAGAAATTACTCCATACCTTACATTAGGATTCGAGGCATGAATTAGCAGTCAATACCTCCTTAGCTGTTGATTTATATTTTCCCCCCTCACGTAAATTTTTCGTATCATATTGATGCCGAATATCACCATGAACTACTTCGTAGGCTGAGGCCCTTTTGATTATAATCCATTCAACAAACGAGTGTCACCGGTAATCTAACCAACGACTATCTAACCTCCAGGTGCCATAGCCCCAAATTCAAGCTATCGAAGAGAAAATCCCGGGCAATTACAGGGAACGAGAGAATTCAATGGTTGCCAGAACACCCTGTCCTCCGAAACGATCCGGCAATGTATATTCCGTATGAAACTATGTCACATCATCTCCCGCTTCAAACTAAAGCTTTACACAAAGAAACGATAACGAAAGCAAGGGGTAGGATACTATCACCCGAATTATGTCTAGTTAGATGCAGCCGCTTAGCTCTCAGCAGTTGCAGTACCTCTTCCACGGCCTAGTGCTCCTCGGCCTCTACCACGCGGGGCTCCACGGCCTCTGCCGCGGTGGGATCCGCGGTGATTTAGATTTGTAGGTGGAGGGACGGCATTATATGGTCTTGGTCTGAAATTCGGATTATTATGGATGATATCGGTTGTAGGATCCACTCTTTCCACGGACACATATCCGCCGCGGGAATGTGGAAGCTGAGCTGCACTGGCTCCTCTTCCCCGACCACGAACGGGTGCTGTACCCTTATGCATTTCGCTGTCCATTTTTTGACTCGCGCTACTACCGCCCTGGTTGTTGCTACGCCCGCGCCACGATCGTGTCTGGTGGACTCCCGAGGATTGGGCTCGCGCGGGATGGCTTTGGGGATGTTGACGGAGTGGTAAAATGTGTGGTGCGCCACGCCCACGGGGCAGACCATTGCCCCTTGGACTGCCATGTCCATTGATGGCTGATCGGAACGAGCCTCTCAGGGGCGGAGGAGTGGGAGCATCTTTCAGCTGTCCCCGACCACCAGGACCAAGAGGAGCTCCGTAACCTTGATTAGCAGAGGTTCGTTGCTGTTGTGCTTTAGCCTGCTCGTTGGCAGCTCGAGTCATAGCAACAAGTTGCTTGTTTGTCAGATTCAATACAGACGATGCAGCGACCGTTTGGCCCCTGAATGGCGAGCAACGACCGGATAGAGTAGTGCCACTCATGAAAGAAACGTCGAAAATCACATCCAAAAGCACCGTCCTAGACGTCCGTGTCAAACCGACAACGGTACCCTTGGTGGCGATAGGGACCTTTCCGGAATCTTGGGCATAGATAACTCTGTCCCCAAGAGCGAACCGTTGATTCCCCAGCCTATGTTCCGCATCTGCAGGCTTTAACACAGCATTCCGTGGAACACCTCTAATCTTTTGAGGAATAGGTGAAGGTTTATTGCGGAACCATTTATCTGCAGCTTCCTCGATAGCTCCCACAACATCCGAGTCAAGTTGTTCAGCTTCCAGGGGCACGCGTTCAAAATTTTTCGCCTCGTTGGACTTCAGCCAGCTTTGGATTTCTTTAATCTTAGTCGCCGCGACTTCTGGTGGGTAAAAGTCTGTGGGTTCAAACAAATCCCCTTGGGGTTTCCGCTGAATCCCTGCAATGAATTCCGGAAACTTAATCATATATTCACGGAGCAGGCCTATCGCTTTCTCACTAAATTCCCATCCATTCTGTCCACGGCGGGAGTAGCCTAGAACCTTAAGCTTTTTCGCTTCGAACTTGAGGTTCAAACCCAAATTAATCCGTTTCCCCTCACACATGACCGAAAACGAGGACGTAATTTTGGCCACAGTTAGGGGGTTTAGTTGTAGATTTCTCGAAACTGCAAAAGATGGCGTGTACGGGGAGTGGCTCTCAGCAATGTCAACCTGCTCTTTGCCGAATTCGGGTTCTTTTGCGCCTTTGGTGGTAGAAACAAGGCCTTGTAGCTTGCCATCGTCGTGGCCTGTGATGTGTACTGGAGCGCCGTAATTGTATTCGCCCAAGAAGAACGCCCTGGTGCCTTCCGGGAACTCTTCTTCGATAGGGACCGCTTCACGTTCGATGAAACGATCATCCTGACTGATGACCTCGTCCACTATCAACTGTGAAGCATAATCCGTTTCAATGCCTGGAATCTCTGCAAATTCTTTTACAGTAGCTCCAAGCTCCGTCTTCACAAGGCCCTTTAATACATGAACGTGCACAATAGACTCCACCTCGCCAATGATCATGCCTAATCTCTTGCTGTAGCTGGATTCAATTCTGTCCGACTTTTTCTTCCATTGATCTATTTGCCCTGGGCTATGCGGAATTTGAACAATGTGCTCTTCACCATCCACTTGGACGTAATCGAATAGCTCGTCTGAGACACGAACCACCAGTGCCTCGTGCAGGAAAGGGTATCCAATATGAACTCGTTTGCCTATTTTTGACTTGGCAGTCTCGACACGCGAGCGGGATTCTGGTTCTGTCAGAGTGACGACCATGCTTTCGTTGCGACTCTCCTGCTGGAAGACGGTTACACCGTGGAAGCCCAGCTGGGCAGTGTGTGGGAGCGTTTTCAGACTTGGGAATCCAGCCAATGCCTCTGTTCCTAGCTTGACACCATCCATCAGGCCGACATAAGGTTCCAATCCTTCCATAGTTGGCAGTTCATAAACATTTTCTATGCAATGACACCTCGGGATGTCAGGAAACACGCCCACAAAGGAGCTAGGATATGTAAATTCAATATCAGGAGAATGCGTAAATTTTAGCGTAACACCGAAATTGTTCCTCGCTTTTTCCTCTGGCGTGAGTAGGTGCTCCTTAGATGCCATCGCCTTGAGAAGACGATCCTCGTTGATGAATGGGATCTTAACAACAGCTTCCCATTCCATTTTCTTTCCATTCATGTCTAATTCGAAGTCCCGAGGGTAGAAGTCGATGATGGGCGAATCAGGCGAAATCATCAGTTCGTGATAGGCTTGAGGTACTATCTTCTTACTGCGATCTGGTAGCACACCCATGAGTTGCTGGAAAGGGAAAAAAGGTTGACCCAGTTTAAAGTCCATGTCAGCACCCAACCCACGCTTCACATCAGATATCATTGGTGAATAATGATAACGATAAAACCATGGCCACGATGCAACGCCCCGATAATAATAGTAAAGAACCCATTGAAGCCCCTGGACGTAATTTTCGGTCAACTTGCGCATTTCTTCATCGTTGTCGGTACCCCAACCAAACTTCCCTTCGTAGTATTTGTTCTTCCATTCCTGAAACTTTTGCTCATATTTCTTTTCCGCTATTTGTTGGGCTTCTTCCGCGGTAGTCTCCTTGACCTTCGCATTCTCGTACTTCTTGAGAACACGCAGCACAGCAATTTGAGCCTCTTCGTCCTCGTCTTCTGAAGCGCTATCGCCATTCGCTAATTGCTGCTTTGAAGGCAATTGCAGTCTCAAGAAACGGTCCCCATGTTCATTTGAAACGGAAGACCAAGAAATACGAAGGTCATCCGCAAGCTGCTCCACGAATTTCCGGTCTCTTGCCGGCAGAGATGGCGAGAGATCAAGAGGAACAGGATAGCCATCGTCATTGACTGGGCGATGAGAGATGTACTTTTTAACTTTGCTAAGGATATGCTTTTGTGCGGGCGAAATGGTTAGGGCCTTGGGATCATCCAAAATTTCTGGTTTCTCTTCTCCACGGCTTAGTTTGGATTTAAGCCACCGAGAATCGGAATATTCGGCTTCGAAGAAACGAAATTCGACATCGCCCAGCGAGTCTAGAAGGACACCCAATCTGTTCAGATTGATACGTCCACGTTCGTTGATATATCCGTCCAATTTTGGTAAAACCTCTTTGTATACCTTGAACATCCATGCCAATGCCCCCTCATTTATATGCAAGTTAGGAAGGTTGGGTAAGAAGTCATTTCCAACAAAGAATGCCATCAGAATGAAATCGTCAATTACCCTTTCCATATCGAATTCGAACTGCAATGCTCCTTCTTGTTCCAACTCCTGAAATTCCAGTTCCAAGTACTCCCTGACGATGCATAGGTGTAGAAGGTAGAAATTTTGATGCTCTAACTCCTTCACTTTCTTCTGATTTTGTCGGCCAAATGTAACCTCTTCACGAAGAAGACAGAAATGGGGATCATGGCTTAATAAGCCTAACATGATCAGATCTGCATCTAGGCCGTATAAGCAGTGGCGGACATTCGGATCATAGTCCGGCTGGGCTTTCGCCTGTCGGATGTATTCCATGATCTTGTGTTCCCCTTCTCCCGGGACTTCGTGGCCTGAAAGGATTACTTCCACCCCCTGCCACTCCGCATCTTCTGATACCTTCTTGTTAATGAAGTATTTGAGTTGTTTCGTAAGCTTGGCCATAAATTCCGTCCCTGGTGTAATGCAATTGCTATCGAAAGGGTCTTCCTTCGGCATTTCAATTCCCTCCCTAATGGCTTTTTCCTTCGCAATCTCTGCGTCTAAGGCAGTACGAAACCGGCGCGCTCGTTGCTGGTTCATCTTGGCTCGAGGGGCGACACCGTCGATGGCCATGAAGAAGAGCTTTTTCGGCTTTATTTTGCCAAAAAGATGTTCGATATAGTTGAATATAGCGATAAACATTTTATCTTCAGTCATGCGAAAGGTGGGCGAGTCGGAGTCTTTATGGGTGCAGTTATGGATAATGCCATTCATATCGAGGTAGAGGCAATCGAACTCCGGAATGCGATTCTCCGCAATGAGTTGCGATATTGCCGGATAGCGCTCCGAGAGCCATCTGAAGAACTTCGGGACACCCATGACTGTGTCGAATTCCTAAGTATTCTAGAGGAAGATTAGGCGATTATCAAGCAGCGGCGCGATACTGGATGCGAAGGTAACGAGGCTCGAAGAACTTGTACAGAACGGCTATCAAAGTCGTGAAATCATTCCTAAATATCGTGATAGAAACAAACGACTGTACAAGAAAGGAAAAAGAAATAAGAAAGCTGGAAACAGAACGGTTGGGAGTCGAGTCTCTCAACGATGCTGTCGCCCTCGAGTTGGCCGATGATTCGCGGGTTGTCAAGCTCCATATCACGTGACAAAGTTACCTCAGCATTGCTTACTAATCTGACAGCTTGCGGATCTATCAGCTTGTTCGTTGGAGAGGGAGCGAACGCGATCGATCGCGTTTCAATTCCAGGCGAGAGAGCTCTCTTTGTTCACAAATACCACCCACATAAACTACAGCCCAATTATTCTTGTTGTTTTCAATATCTTTTAGCAGAGGGTTATTTAAATTTTTTCCTTTTTCTTCAATCTTCTAGGAAAACAGCGAAATGGAAGATTACGATCCGAGTAAGGTTAATCAACCGATCTGATCAAGGCAAAAGCCGTTGACCGTCTCTTGATAGGTGTCACTGAGGAGCAAGAAGAAGAAATTTCTGAGGAGAAGGTTATTAATGAGGGTGATTATTGCTAATTTGCCCCGGAACAACCGCCAGGCACCAGCTAACTGTTCCTTAGAGTACAAAACATGGAAGAAAAATGCGCCGTTCCTCTATGATATGATCCTGAGCACAGCGTTAGAATGGCCTACCCTTACTACTCAATGGCTACCAGATAAACAAGAGTATGTCCATAGAACCCACTGTCCCTCAGAGTGGAATGCGCTCACATCTTTGCTAGAGTCCCAGACAAACCCTACTCAACTCATCGCCTGTTAATCGGCACCCATACCTCAAATGATGCTCAAAACTACCTGCAAATTGCTCACGTGCAGTTGCCAAACCCCAAAGCCCCAGACGTGGAAGATTATGATGATGATAGAGGCGAGATCGGTGGTTATGGGTCGTCGGGATCCCAAAGGACCCCTATGGAAGTGAAGTTCCATATTGTGCAAAAGATTGACCATAAAGGCGAGGTGAACAAGGCGCGATATCAACCGCAAAATCCCAATGTCATTGCCACCATGTGCACTGATGGGAGGGTCATGATCTGGGATCGCTCGAAACACCCTAGCTTGCCTACCGGCACTGTTAACCCCGAACTAGAACTGCTCGGACACACAAAAGAGGGATTCGGTTTGAGCTGGAGCCCACACAGCGCAGGCCATCTGGCGACGGGAAGCGAAGATAAAACTGTTCGACTATGGTGCGTGTGGTGACTTTACCGAATTGGCGGTATGTGCTGATAGACTTTAGGGATCTTACGCAGTATACCAAAGGAAACAAAGCGCTAAAGCCCGTGCGAACTTATACACATCATTCGTCTATCGTAAACGACGTCCAATACCATCCTTTGCACTCGTCCCTTATCGGTACCGTGTCCGACGATATCACTCTGCAGATATTGGATATACGCGAATCCGATACTGGCCGATCCGCGGCATCGGCAAAGGGCCAACATAAAGATGCAATCAACTCTATTGCCTTTAATCCCGCAGCGGAAACGGTGCTCGCTACCGGCTCGGCTGATAAGAGTGTTGGGTTATGGGATCTGCGAAATCTAAAATCAAAACTTCATGCTTTGGAGTGCCATCAGGATTCAGTTACATCATTGGCATGGCATCCATCTGAAGAGGCTGTATTGGCAAGCTCGAGTTACGATCGGAGAATTATGTTCTGGGACCTCAGCCGGGCCGGTGAAGAGCAGACGCAAGAAGATTCCCAGGACGGACCTCCCGAATTGTACGAGACCCTCCGTGACTTTTCTCTTCGTTTGAGGGCCCAGCTCTTTTTTGATACTAATTATACTGCTTTTCTTGTAGGTTATTTGTGCATGGCGGCCATACCAACCGCATTTCTGATTTTAGCTGGAATCTTAACGATCCGTGGGTTCTCTGCTCCGCAGCTGAGGATAACCTACTCCAGGTTTGGAAAGTTGCGGATGCCATTGTTGGAAAAGATATGGAGGATGTGCCGACGGAGGAGTTGGAGACATGAAATCGAAACGTGAAGATCCTTATGGATTTAGAATTGATGGCTGATCCGGGTGAAAAAGCAAGCTACACCAGGACCTGTACTATATACAGACGAGCAATGATTCGAAGGGCAATCTAGCCGAAAGTTTTTCCTGCCACCTTCTTCTCTTGGAGGGACAATGTTACCAAGTAAATGAGTGATGCTTATGAGTAAACATATTCCGTTCTCCGCACAGCACGACGGGAACCGGAAATCCAAAACCAGCCTTTCGGCATTTTTCAAGTCCATTCCTCACGCTATTCCCGAAAGGGCGTAGAGTGGGCGGGGTACGCTTTATCAAAGTTTGCATCGCGCCTTATCGATTGCTTAAATAAGCGAAATACGCAAATTTCCCGTTGCACTCGAGTCAGCCAGGCCTGAATATCTCCGACCCGAAACTGTCATACCGCTTGAGCGCAAGGGAAAATGCTATCGCCGTACTTTAGGATCATAAACCGCAGCAGTGGAAAGTGATTCTTCTCTCCTCTATTGTTTTTATTGCGATTCTTTACTCCCCTGCCTACCGGTGTTCCAAAGCAAGCCCAAAGTTCTCCCCGCACACTCCAGCTCCCGCTGACAGCGATCATGGGATCCGAAACCTCACTACCTTTGGGCCCAAAGCCCAAATCTGCAGTTCCTTCCTATCTTCTGAACGGCTTATCTTCCGATCGCATGCCCAGCAGTAAGCGCGAGAGAGATAGTCTCAATTCTTCCATAAAAACATCTTTTGCACGAAGACAGATCTCTAACGAGGATATCGGTGAGAATGGCACCTCACCGCCGACACGCACTGCCGGCGCCAGTGCCCTTGAGAGCAGAGATAGCGGGCGGCTTTTGGAGAAGCAACCTGATGGCACTGGAAGCACAAAGCGAAATATCAGCGAACCTCCGCGTGATCCTAGGGATCACATTGTCCCCACTCCTATTGTCAGTCGACCTGCCAGCCCGTATACCCTAAATCCGCCTATCGATTTCGATGGGCTTAGTTGGCCTAGTATGTAATATTTCTTGTTTAATTTGTTACTGTCTACCTCTAGAAACACCCACCGCTAATATCCGGCTCCATTTATAAAGGCATTGGGACAAGGGAGCGACTAGAATCCACTCCAGAAGAAACAGAGGAAAGAATTCAAAAGCTTGCGGGAGCTGTTCGAACCATATTCGAATGCATTGGCGAAGATCCAGAACGAGAGGGATTACTTGGAACCCCAGAGAGATATGCGAAGGCAATGCTTTATTTTACCAAGGGATACGAGGAGAATGTCCGGGATTTGGTGAACGGCGCTGTCTTTCACGAAGATCATGATGAACTTGTGATTGTGAAAGATATTGAAGTTTTTTCTCTCTGTGAGCATCATATGGTTCCTTTCACTGGAAAGGTAAGCATACCCGATACTTCTTTTTGGCGTTGATGAAACATAAATTAATTTTTTTTTTTTTTTTTTTTTTTTTTTAAGATGCATATCGGTTACATCCCCGATCGCAGGGTCCTCGGATTATCCAAACTTGCTCGACTAGCCGAAATGTTTTCTCGGCGCCTCCAGGTTCAAGAGCGACTGACAAAGCAGGTTGCCTTGGCTATTGCTGAAGTGTTGAAGCCCCAGGGTGTTGCCGTCGTTATGGAATCGAGCCATCTATGCATGGTGATGCGTGGAGTTCAGAAGACTGGCAGCACCACCACTACTAGTTGCATGCTTGGCTGTATGAGATCAAGCGCGAAGACTCGGGAAGAATTTTTGAGCTTGCTGAACCGAAAATAAACCTTCTCCTGAATCCCTTCCACGGCATCGTGCTCTCTACAACTGATATTTACACCAGCTGCATCTGACGAGATATAGCCGATTGCACCATCTTACTCACACTTGTATATTATACAGGGAGGTCACTTTTAAATATTTGTTTGGCCCTTTCAACAGGTTTGCCGCAGGCGTTCTGGATACCATAATTGTGGAATTTCTTATCCATCCCACCCTGGCTCTGCCTATTTTCTTTTTTTCTTGAGACAACTCTGTGGCGAATTTTTTTTCAACAGCCACAATTTCTGCTTTTTGAAAAGAGAACAGAGGATAGATTGTTCTCACCTCACACGCCGTGTTGACCTAACAGTTTGGGGGGGGGATGGGTATTATTTAAATATATCCCTCTTTCCCAATGCCAGGGAGCTGACTTTTGGCTTGATAGGCCCTATTGCAAGCAGGAAACGAGAAACCATTGTTCTGCTTGGGAGGATGGCAATGCTGGCCCTGGTCTCTCCATGCTGTGTCGTTGCGTACATCTGTGAATAACAAATATCCTGTAAATTATTAAATGCGATAAAATCTATGCTTGATAGGATTGACACCTATATATAGATGATCAACCTGATTGAAGGTCATAATTGCAGAACCTCTACCCACTATTTGGAAGGCATGTTCCAGTATCTAGAATAAAGAAAATGCCCTGCACCAAACATGATGGCACATTCCATCAAAGCCAAAAACAAGCTGTTATGAGATTAGCCGAATAGGAAGACACAAGACCAAATCGATATTCACACGTATTCGCCTATACAATGCTCTGCACATAGGTAAGCGGAGCCTCCCTCTATACAGCGACAATACGTGACGAGACGATATGTTCCTGTTGGGAGCCAAAATAAACAGAGCCATCTGGTGATTCACTTTATTTCACTTCACTCAAAAGCCAAATCATTGAACCGCTGAAGATGACAGCATACAGACGGCCATCTATGTGCTAGTTATTGGCCCCTTATCTCTTCCACCCAGTTAGCTCATAATCTTGTTTTATGTCTCTTTCTAACACTGGAGTTTGCCACTCAAGGTTGTTGAGCAGAGAAAAGAATTCTTTATCATAGAAACACAAGGGCAAAAAAGACATCGTCAGGATTGAGCTGGGGCTTCCAGGAACTTTATGGTCAAACTGATAATTCATAAAAAGGACATTGGGTTAGTACATACTCCACTAGTAACTTATCTGGGGACCTGTTTCATTGATGGATATCCCTTTTCCAGTCAGATTATTCCTGATATCAACTGCCCTGCTAGTCTTGACACGGCGCTTTTCCCTTGTCAGCATTCCGTCGAACCTACACGCAGGCTGTCCTTAGACAGTATCAACTAAATTGACAGGGTCTCCCGAGGACAGCCTTCATTAGAAGACACGGGCCTTTGGATGGGAGTGCTTGCGGCCGATGATATAAGGATTTGAATGTCAGAAGGGGAAAGACGCTCGGAGAAGACCGGACAGTACCTGGAAAAGCCTCGTGTCTCAAAAGAGGGCGGTTTCCATACTATTTTTTCCATGCACGCAAGGAGATGCCGATATGGCTCCTAAAAAGCAGAGGAAGAAGGCCATCCCGAAGACATATGAATTTAACAGCCGTGCACCCAGCAGTAGCATCGATCAGGGTAACCAAAATCAGACGTCGAGCCGCAAAACTTTGTTCAACCCTTACCGGGAACGGGCAATCCAAGATGAACAATCGGTGCTTCTAAATCGACCTTTTTTGGACCAGCAATTGCCCCCGGGAACATCGCGTGCAAAAGAAATGGAAAAGAGAGGCACTATCCATACGGAACGGCAAAGGGATAACGCGCATACTTCCCAGTTTCCGGGACTGTTTGAGGAGGAAGATGTGAATACAGAGCGTGGAGATTGGCAAATGCTTGATGCAAACGAAAGTACTAGCATTGCGGCACGTCGCCATGCGAGCGGACTACCTCTCGGGATTCAAACCCAGGCTCATTGTCTTCCGGTGATTCGACCTGGGTTGCAACTGCCCGAGCCTCCACTGACAGCAGTGTTGCCAAAACAAAGAGCTGTCAGTATGCCTTCGGTGAATAAACAAGAATTATCGAGTATGCTTGCAACAACGGAGCAGTACCTGTCTGGTTTAAGATTAAACCAGAATAAGCATGCCGGCGGCCTTGGTCAGGTGCCCTTGCCGCGTGCAAGTCGCATTGCAATCGAAGGTCAGATTAGTCAACGAGTTCACCCTGCTGATAGTATTGTGACTTTACCGAGCATCGGCAACCCAGGATATGGATTTCAAGGCGACTCGACAAAGTTACCCCCCGTGATAAAGCAACTCTTGGCTGATGCAGACGCGAGAAGAGCATATCATAGAAGAAAGGTTCAAGCTGCGCAGGGCCGTCACGACCAATACTTAGCAGGCACAGGACCTAGGACCACAGCCTCAGTGATGAATCGCAGAGCACCACCTCGAAATGGTCCGGAAAGAGAAAACACAATGTCTGTGACCCCGGAAATGTACAATCCGTATTCAAGAGTTCGTAAAACGACGCCAAGAACCTTGCGGTCAAGTCGACTGTTGTTCCGCGGACCCAGCAATGGATATCTTAGCTTTGGTGACTTGGCACAGACTGACATGCCATCCCCGTCTTTGGAGCATTTCTCAGTCACGAAATTATCCCGAACTGCTGTTCGATATGACCATGCAAGAGCTTATGAGCAACGCGAACCAAATTTTAGCGTATTTCAAGAGCTTCTCAAACGGCCTGAGCTTATCATTACATTAGCATGTCATCTTCGCGTCCAGGAACTTCTAATCTTGTACAGAATCAGCAAATCATTCCACAATATCATCAACCAGCGCTATACAACCGTGATTCTTTCACAGGCACTAAGACATGCACCGGAATCTGCAAAAATCTTTCCATACCGTTGCTATTCGAGACTTTGCATTGACGACCCCGCGGAGCGTCCTCATCCAGTAGCACAACGTGCGGCAGCCGGGCAGCATCGCAAAGTCCCATCCTTCCGTTGGCTCCTTATGATCTGTTTCCGGGAAATGATCTGTCACGAAATTAGGATGATCATGGACGAGGACGGAACTCCTTTGCCGGAACAATGCGAAACAGTGATGAAGAAAATCTGGTTTGTGATGGATATCCCGGATACCATCCGCCGAATTGGGACGATCCAGAATCGAGAAGTCTTTACCGATGCCGATATATTCTTTGCAACAATGCTTTTCGTGAAGATTGACATGCGATTCACTGACCCCATCACTGGGAGTGGCCGGGATGGAATGCGCCGAATGTTGCTATCGCAACCAAGTCTATCGATACTGTGGAAAGCTTTGAGCCGGACGGCATTGGTGAGCAAGATGGACGCAGTCAAGATGTTTGTCCGTTGGAAATGGCGGCCTCCTGCGCGTCTAGTTGGCCAACCTGTTTTTGGTATCCCAGCAAACGAAATCGGTATCATGCAGTTCGAAGGATGGGGCCGGACGGGTAGTCGAGTCCGCTTGCAACGTCCAGATGAAATTATTCTCAAGGAATCAGTCCACCGACGATTGAATCTTCACTTACACTATACAGATATGTTTTTGTGGGGCTATGTCAATCCGAACTCCTTGCAAGACATGCCGCCTATTCCAGAGCGTCGAAATTTAGAGCGGTTAGAAGGAATGGAGGAACTGCTTATTCCCAAAGATGATGCAAGGGACAGGAGCATCGGAAAATTGGTGTCAGGACGGGTAGTATTCGACTAAACTGTGAATTCCCGGGCTTTAGTCGACTGGATAATTGCAGGCAGCGCATGGCAGTCCGTACCAAGCCCAATGATCTGATACCATTTATGAATTCCAAGTTGCTACTAAGGTAAAAATAAAGGATGAATACGTATTAAGTGAAAAGACAAAAAAAAAAAAAACCAAACAAAAAAAAAAAAAAAGGTTAGCTCAGAAAATCTCACACAGCGATGTGTCGTCGAAAGGGTTTTTAAAAAAATGAAAAGGGAATTCAAAGTGCAGGAAGTACGTTAGCCAGGTTAATCCAACCAACCTTCATTTATCAACATCTCACTTTGATTTCTGTGTACGGAGTAGACATTTCATTTTCGGTTTTTCATCACCCCGCTCAACACGGAGTTGATGGGGATCGTGGGATATTCCTGGGCTTCCGAAATTTGCATGCCTGAAGGGATTCAGTCTTCGGCATTCATTGGGCCCGACTATGTTGTCTAGACGGTAGCCAAGTTAGGAATAGCATTGCTTTTTACAGGATTTCACCTCGTAAATTTGTAATCCGATTTTGCTGCCGCCATTTCGACGGCATTCCTCTGCGCTTTTGTCGAGCGCTGTCGACGTTGTCCTTCGGGAGAGGCGGAGATGCTTGACGTTCGGCTTCTTGCTTGGCGCCAAGGAGATTCTCAAGTTAATCCAATTAATAACCCGAATGCTCCAGTGGCCGTTGACAACACGAGGGCGAGTGACGATCACCAAAGCCGGATTCTAGAAAGTCGGCAGCAGACAGCCTCCGTCATCCCGTTGACTTCGCGTCAGACGGAACTAACTATGTCACGGCCTATTACTAAAATCTCGAGACCAAGCCAAAATTAGTCACCAAGGGTGATCTGGAACTGGGCAGCGCAACCTGCCCACTGCCAGCTTTCAGGGCAAACTACTCTGTATGTATGGATGGACATCTATAAGAATCGCCGGGACGGCGTCCGGATGGTTTTTTTGGAAGTACTTGATTTGACAAGTCTCCAAGGCGTTTTTGTTTTACATGAGGTACGGTTTTAAGGCTGGTTGGATTTCAACCCGCGCATTTAGTTCTGTAATACCACAACGTGGAAATATAGCCTTCACATCACCATTGGCACACATACCCCTTTGGCGTCTGAACACCTGTTACTCCCTCTCGCAAAATCGGACGATGGCTAGCGCAAAGTCTATCCAGTTATCCGTGGAGGATTCTGGAGTTTTCAGCTCCAATCCCAGGGCAGATTCCGCGAAAAAAGCGAGCCAGCTACTGCAAGAGGATATGAAATCCCACCATATATTTTTCAATGATTCTGGGTTTCATAGTATGTGACACGTTTCTCCTTGTACCCTTCCTGCCTTTTTATCTTGGTTGTGGAGTTTCTCCAAACCAATCGAATTTATTCTTTGCCTTGTCTTGTATCCAAAGTTTTGATTGCAGCTCTCTGCCCGAGTGCCTATTAATGAGTCCTTTCAGACCACACCGTCCATCATGTTTTGTCCATTTTTGCGCTGGGCGCCTCTCCCGAGGACATTCAATCCGCATTTGATCGGGCGGCAGAGTATCAACGCCCCGCCCGTCCGGTGAATGAGGATATTGTCAAGAAGCTGAGCAATAGAGACGAGTTCAAAGCTTTGGCGGGCACAAGAGAAGCGTATCCTCATTTTTTGGAGTTCTTCCAACGAGAGATCGAAGCCAGAGGCACCGAGGAGGTTGTTAATGAGTATATCTTCGCAGGCGACGAGTTTGCCGATGATATGCTTGCGAGAACTTTTGGAGGTTAGTACCCATTTTTAAATTGCTCAAACCGGCCAATCTTGTTTGAGTGACCCCTAATACTTCTTGGCTTCTAGGCTTGGTTCATCCGTTCATTCACTTGGGCTTTGCTCTGGAGTTTAAACAACCAGCACTTGTTGCTCAGGCCCTTGCGCAAACAGCTGTCCATGAACCGAACATGAAGGGCTTTTTTATGTCTGCCGAGAAGCAAGCCGGCGGTGTTGGACAGACCGGGAAGAAAACTTTGATTGAACTTCAAGCTGAGTGCCGTGCCGACCCACGAGTGCGGGATTCGGCTCACTGGTCCGATACAAACAAATTCTTCGATGGAGTCTTGAAGAGGGCTCCAGAAGAAATGGCTAAAATTGCCGGTGAATTCACTGTTGGACCCGACCAAATAGAAGAACGGGTTGCAGAATTGATCAATGCTGTTGGTAAGAAGGCGTGTATTCATACCGGCAGAGCACCTCTGCCCTTCCTGTACCACGCTGCTGACGCGACTGACTAGTCTATTACACTGGAGCGGCGCAAAATCCCCCAAAGAAGATTAAATTTGACTTCTTCTATATTCATTGCGTCAATAGCGCTATTTTCCTACCAGTTTTCCTAGCTTTGCCATGGATAAGCCGACATAATAAACAGCGATTGTTGGAATGGAAAGGTCGCATGGACTTGCTCACATACGTCTCTCGAGGCGACGTTGAGCCTCGTATTAACGAGATCACTGACTACAAGCCGGTTAGGTCGTGGCACGAAGTGTTCACAACGGCATTTGTAAATAAAAAAGAAGACGGCCATGCTGCTAAACTGATGCGAACATTGGCCTATGCGGAGAAGGCCTGCAAGCGTTATGAGAATAAGGATGGCTTCCTGGTTAAAGGTGATATGTGGCTCAAGTTAGGCAATATGGGTAAGTGGTTCAATATAACCTTTTGCCTCCGGGAGATTGTAAATCTAAGTATCTTAACTCGAATATAGTTGCCGATTCCATCCAGGGCCCAGAACGATTGTGGGTTATGTCAACTGGGTTCCCTGAAGCATGGGAAGATATCCCAGACCGCCCACGGCTCTAGATTGGCGCTACCATGATGGGCCTAGATTTTAACTGTGGACCCGAATAATTCTTGTTGTCATTATTTATTGTAATCTGTGAATTCCCTCAATGGAAAACGGGTATGTATATATTTGGGAAGTATTTTGCAACCTAAAATGTCATATATCGGTTTAAGCAAATGGAGCTCGCTCAATTTGCCATCATGATGATTGGAGTGTTGGTACCTACAGTACTAACATCATGATAGCATGAATGGGCCGGATCATAGCCGGTGCTCATTGATAAGGCAAAGTACATGTAACAAAGATCATCTGATCACTTTTCGACATCAATTGCAGTTTATATTTTCCCAGAATTGGTTCCCGAGTGACACAGACGAGCACGGACGTCGTTGCATCGCCTTATCCACATCCCGTCCACCATTATTATAGAGGCCCCTATTAAAATCTCTGTCGATGATTGAGAGGCTTGGGTCCTCTACGTGTCTGCCTATCTGCTCCCGAATTGTAGATTGCTTTCCATTCAGGTTAGTTTGTGTCCTTGCTAGAAGTTCATGCTAGAAGACACTAGGTATGCTTCATCTCCATGGCGGGAAGAGCAGAACGCTCGGCGATACGATGTCGCACACTGTGGAACCTGGGCTCTCTATTAACGAAGAGACGCCAAAATTGGGCTGGAGACTTCAGTATTTCTTCACATAGGATTCTTCTGAGACGACCGTATGATTTCTTCGCCGTTTGTATGAAAATCATTTTCAAGATTTTCTATCAATCTGCTTGTCTTCTCCAGGCTCCTCTTGAACGGATCGATTTGAAGCAGAGAGCGAATGACCAGTGTAACTTTTCTTCGGTAAGTAGGGTGCGAACTTAGGTAGTAATTACGCCGAAGCGCTGCATCTATTTTCTCGAGTTGGCCCTCACTTGCAGTTGCTAAAACCACCACGAATGTCAGCTGGGGTTGCCCTTAAGCATGTGAGTATTTAGGGATATGGTCCTACCTCGATAACCTTCCGCGTCCTTATCGGAGGGAAACAAGTCTGCACCTGTTAGAGCATAGAAAATCTACTTTCGAATGTTAATTTTCCCTCGGAGTGTAAAAGGAGATTGCAGTATAACATACGACACAGCCCAAACTCCACAGATCGGACTTGGGCGACGCATAACAGCGTGTCTTGTCGCGCATTTCAGGCGCAAGGAAAGCCCTTGTGCCTTTAGCTCCTTCTCTCGAGCATCCTTCAAAGGCTAGGTAATAAGTGTTAGCGGTAGCGGTACCACAGCAATGGGTAGGAAATGAAATGGTAATGATTACCGTTTCCGAAATCCAGTATTTCAACTTTGGTCATATCATTCATATCACTCATGAGAGCTGTATTTATAGTTTGAACGATATATTCGGGCAGATATTGTGGTCGTTTCGGCGGCTCTCCTGGTTTAATATACACGAAGTATGCTTTTAGCCCGTAGCTGAAGGTGCGCTGGAGAGCGCTTGGAGTCAATGCATTCTGGCTTACACCAAAAGCAACATTTGCTGCGCTGAGATCTGCAAGGCAAATTTACTGAATATGCAGAAAGCTAGTAGGCGAGAGGGTGCAGTCAGGACTCACCTCCATGACAAATCCCATTTCGATGAAGAGCTTCAACCTTTTTAAAGAGTGTCCTCATAAAGGTGGTGATGGTCGTTGAGTCAGATGGCGGGTCAAGTTCTGAATACTCCCTACTTCTCAAGGTCGAGCCGAGGGGGTTCAATCCTAGACAGAGGTAGAGGCGCTTATTCTGCGCATGAAAAAAAGCTACTCTCAGCTTTCCTAGCTTCTGCAGTATGTGCATCTCGGTATTTTCAGGGGTACTATGCTGATGGCTCAGAACCTTGATGGCAAGATGACGATGAAAAATCCTACTCCAGCACGTGTCAAACAAAGCAATAACAGGATAAAGGAGGAGCCTATGCAGTGAACATACGTATCCCAGCCTAACCAGACCGTGGAATAGGCACCGAATCCGAGCTTCCCAAGTATTCTGAATGAACATGGTTCCTGTCCCGGTTGCAGCAGGTTATCGCCACACAGGACATCACCGACCACAATCGGACACCAAAAATTGTGCACATACTTTTCTATGGTCTCACTGTGGTAGCCGTTCAACCCTCGAAGGCGCCATCCATTGCCAACGTAGTTAGGAGGGGGCGGAGATGGTGTGCGGGATAACAGAATAGTTTGCACCATTGGAACAGGCAATTTTCGCCCATACAAACCAAAAATTAAACTACAAAGTCCAAAGTCATAAACAGAAAGCCAGGACTTGAGCAGTCAGGTGAATAAAAGATGCATTTTCTCAACTGCAACTTCTGTAACAGCGGAGTTGCCTCCCGTGGGAGAGATCTGGTGCGGCCTCAGTGTGCTGAGCTTGATAGAGTTGTAGCATTGTGATTGGCTACTTTGTTGCCGCCGTGCCGTTAATCGAGGCATCGAGGCTAAGTACGTATGATGGCAGCACATTTCATAGGAAACAATCTTGGACATCAGAAAGTTTCCATCATCGCGGAACCAACCAGATGTGCTATCTAACCTAGCCTGATGCTAGACCAGCCTCTTTAACTAAGGAGTCTGTGTCACTGTCAAGGTTTGATGGCTGGCCTCTGATCACTGCCATGCTGTTATGACAAACATCCAGCTGTAACTCATGTGTCCGGCCCAGAGGACTCGTGAGAACTGGTAGAACACTGAACAGGCCGAAGACAACAACTGAGATATCTTGAAGTACGTAAGTAGAGGACTCTCAACTTTGGTGAAACATTAGTATCTACTTCGACCTCATTGAAGACATCAGAAGGTCTGAAACAAACTTGTCCGCTTCCCTATATCCGTGCAAAGATTTCTAGAATAACTGCACTCATAAAACCGCGCTCCCTGCTCCAGATGAAGCAGAGAGAAAATCGCACAAGCTCTGAAAGGCTGAGCTATTGTGCTTAGATAACCCAATTTAATTATCACGTGACGAACTAGATCCGGTTAGCCCGAGCTGGCCGATGACAAGCGTCAATCCAAGTGCAAGTCTTCCCTCCCCGCGACTGTATCCTTTGTCTTTTTCCCATCCAGCATATGGGTGCGGCATAGCAGTCCATCCAGAAATTTGCACTCGCTTTTCTACCGCGAATCGGCGATGTGGCGGACGTTGGAGTTTCCTCCCTCCAAGGTGGGGGATGCCCTGATCGAATATCTTCGAGCGGGAGAACGGCAGAACCTCATACATCATACCTCCTTGTTGGCCCGAATTTGCTCTGGAGGACCTTGGGATATAATATGACAGCACGGCTTGGGGTTAGTTGGTGATCGACAATCGAGTTACTATACGCGTAGTCGTCCATCTTGCTGCGGAGCGCTGACCAACCTCTTGCTGGTCGTCCCTTTGGCATCAGGCTTGGGAGCAAGGTCTGCTGGGAAGCTCGGGAGCTACCTGAATCCGTGTGACCCGGCCGAAAGTGCCCGGAAATTCTCTGCTTTCAAATCGTATACCTGACAAATAGCTTTCCAGGTTCTCGTCAACGTCCAGTTGTGTTTTACGTGCTGTATAAAATGTGTTTCTCGACGGGACGGGGAGTATGATACATATAGTTCGACGCCCCTTGACGACTGCAAAGCCATGGAGTTTAATTGATGAGAATGGTTTTGCCGAATCTTGCCTCCCTGGTGGTTACGCCATTACTGCGGCGGCTTCCGAGGATGGCATACTTCCCGACATACATGAGACCGGCGAGCACCAAAGAGTAATCCCTGACATTGTCATGTCTGATAACTATGGTTTCTTGTCTGTGATTTCTTTTGTTAAACAGTAAACTCGTGTATATCATGGCAAACACTCTGACTGTTTACAGGTCGCATGGTTTGTGCAACTCTCCATTGGAATTTATACCAGTGAACCGTCTCCGATTTCCCCACTACTGGACCACCTCGGCACAGCACCTATTCTTTCCAAGCTTGAACCTCCTAGCAGCCGCAGACAAAGTTGGGTGTTCAAGCAGGTTCAGCAACTTGAAACTGACAGTGCAAGTGGTGCAGCTGTATTTACTAACCAAAGGCTTTGGGCCTCAGTTTTAATGCTTCACAGTTTCAATCGTAGATAGATGATAGGTGTTCCTGACATGTCAGCACCATCACAGCATTTTGCAGAACATCTTGTTGGGAGACAGTTCTTTGGAGAACACAGGTTCTTCATGTGAACCAACACTGGCAGACTCTTGTCAACACGCGTTGTGGCTTCCACTCGCAGTGCTCACCCGCGAAGTTGCAACACCGGCAGCAAGTGAAAGTTGTGGCCGTCTGCCCGGAGCTCTTAGAGCGTCTTTTTGTTTCTTATTTTCTTCTTCTTCTTCTTTTTTTTTGGCTGCTGTCAGTCATTTTGGACGTTCGTAGACTACTTACAAGTGAAGTGGGAGATGGAACTTGCTTGAAAGCAAGATCAAAGAGAGCGTCGCAGCAACACGCAAACTCTTCCATTTGACACCACACAAAAAAGAGAGAGAGAAAAAAGAGCACTCTAATCGCACTCACGACTTGGCTGCAGAACAATTGAAATCAACGGGGAAGCGCTGCCGCATGGGTTGAAATCAACAGCAGAATCCCGCCCAAAACCAACGATTACACTTCGGCTTTGAGCGCATGGGAAGATTGGCGACGACTTCGCGCAACAACCATCAGTTGACTAGATTTCCGCGAGACTTTCTTCGGCAACCCCGCCGTTCATCAGCATACTGCCAGATCTCATCATGAAGCGGAGGTCAGTTCACTGGTCTCCCTTGCCATTTCCCTTTATTTTTGCTTTTTTCCTTTGCAAACCCTGGGAGGCGACCGGCTGAACGTGGAGAAAAATAACCTTCGCCACTGGTCTGTGTGGGCCGCCGTTGTGCTGACAAGCCACCAAAAGCCGTCCAGGAATTGCTGCTAATCCGTGCAGATTTACCTCCAGACGCTCCCATCCATATCGAACCCACCGCGTTTCTCGCTCGCCAGATCGTGCTGCAACCGACAACCCTCCCCACGCAGATGCTGCCAACGATTACATGGCTGCGTCCCGAAGGAGTCCGTCGATGAGAGACCAGTGGAGAGCCGACGGCGACTACGATCGAGAGATACACCATCATCGCCCCAGGGCCAGGGAGAGGCACAGCCGTCGCCAACTATCACCGCCGGCTCCACGTCGTCGTGATCGTGACCGTGAAAGACCAAGTCGAGGCCGTGGCTCTGGCTCCACCGCTCATTATCACCCTTGCAGACGTCCTATTCCTCGAGGCGAGGACCGAAACCCCGAAAATACCAGAACAACTCCCTTCAAAGCCGCTCGAGAGGAAAACCGGGACGCCAAGCATTCTCTAAAAAACCAGGTAAGGTCTCGACAGAGGGAAGATTCTCCTCCGTCGCCATCAAATCCTTCCTTTCCAAGGCGCAAGCGGAGTCGAAGCCCCTCTCCATCTCGTTCTCATCGTCGTCCTCACCACAAGAAGGGGAGACACAACGACAGAGGAGATCATTTTGGAAGAGGTGGCAGACGCCCGCAGCGCTATAGCTCTCCAGAGCGGTTTGTGCCGCCGCGGGAAACCGGACCTGGACGAAAATCTCATTATTCCAAAGCACCAACGTCTGATTCCCTGTCCATTTCTCGCTGCAGGCGCTCTAGATCCCCAGTTCCCTCCGATTTTGGACTACGTGCATCACTATCCCCCCATTCGCCTAGCAATCGCTCTTGCAATTCCATAGACTATCCTTCTCGTCCGCCGTCACGTCATTCGTTTGCGTCGAAGGTGTCAAGGGAATCTTCCCCGTCGCGTGCTTTTCGTAGCATGCAAGACACTCTTCCGATACAATCCCTAGAGGACGAATCTATAGGTTCGGCATCGACTTTCCGACCGGCTGCAAACGCCGATATCCCAAGTTCCAATCATTCCGTGGACGGCGATAGTCATATGCGAGACGCATATCCCATGCACGGTATGCGTCCTTCAGAGACCCGAGGCTCTCGCCGACAGGCTCGCCCGCATGTCGACACTCGTCAACCATACTCCTCCCCCCAATACATACCAGGGTCAGACTCTCGTCATCCTTCCCCCCAGTCCGGATCCCCATATGGGAGTAGTCGAGGTTCATGGGTGGGACAGCCGCAACACCCGTACCCTCATGGACAACAGAGGTCAGCCACGTAATCCGCCCTTTTCTTTTCCTTTTTTTTTTTTTTTTGCTTTCACGTGCTATCTCCCCTTTGAAGTATTTTCTTGTCATGCCTATATCGCAGTATTGACTGTTCTCTAGACAAATGCATGGCTACTCGCCCCCCTACCGTCAACCAAGCTATTCATCCCAGGGTGGATCTCAAGGGCAGTATTACCAGGGACAACCGCCGCAGTATCCCCCTTCTCCCAATGCTGGACAACAAGGTTATTCGGGACAACCACCTTATCGTGGAACGTCTTCCAGTTATCGTGGGAATCCTTACAGTCAGCCGCCACCTCCAGACCGTCGATTCTCAGGCGCAAATTCCCAAAATTATGGTTCCCCACCACAGCCACAGAGGTCCAGGAGTGGCCATTTCACAAGCTTACAATGGACAGCATCCGCTGGTCGCGGCCGTGGTTCCCAGACGGGACCTGGACAGCCATCGCCGACTATTCCATCACTTCAACCACCCCATCATGCTCTCGACGATCCCTTGTCACCAGATATGGATGATAATGATAATCCATTCCGCCCATCCAAAGATTTGCAAGTGGAGGATGAGGAAGCGGTGAAGAAAAACGAAAACAACGATGTGAAGAAGATGCCACCGCCTCGACAAGGCTCCGGGTCATCACAGCCGAAAGAAACTGGAAAGTTCAGTTTCGCATTTAAATCGAAAGCCCCGGCTACGCCGGTGCCCAAACCAGTATCTGGACTTGCACAGAAAATGCGAGAACCTCCTCGCCCTCTAGAACCACCAAAGAAAGAGCTATTGTCTGCTCAAACGAGATTAAAGCATGAAATTCGCCCGGATCGTCGGGACGACAGGCGTGACCGTGACGGCAGGAGAGGGGATCGCCGATTTGATCGTAGGGATGACCGGCGCCGGGACCGGCGAGAGGACCGCCGACCAGATGTTAAACATGATAGACGAAAGGACCGCGAACGCGAGCGAGATCGAGAGCATTCTCCACCCACGCAAGAGAAGCCGAAGAAAAAAATGCTTACACGCATGAAACCTCGTCCAACGCTATCAGAAGAGTTCTCCAAATCAGATTCGGTCTATTATCGCAAACCTGGAAACGAGTCCGTTGTCGGTGCCGGGACGTACGGGAAGGTCTTCAAGGCTGTTCACGTATTTACAAAGAACAAGGTTGCGTTGAAGAGAATACGTATGGAGGGCGAAAAAGATGGGTTCCCAATTACCGCTGTACGTGAGATTCGACTTCTCCAGCATCTCCGGCATGAAAATGTTGTCAGCCTACAAGAAGTTATGGTAGAGAGGAATGAGTGTTTTATGGTCTTTGAGTACTTGTCCCACGATATGACTGGTCTCATTAACCACCCGTCTTTCACTCTTTCCGCCGCGCATAAAAAGCATCTTGCGAAACAGATGTTTGAAGGATTAAATTATTTACATCATCGCGGCGTTCTTCACCGCGATATCAAAGCTGCCAATATTCTTATTAGCAACAAGGGCCAATTGAAATTTGCTGACTTTGGCCTTGCGAGATTTTTTTCGAAAAGTCGGCAGCTTGATTACACTAATCGAGTCATCACTATCTGGTATCGTCCACCAGAGTTGCTTCTGGGTGAGACACGATATGGCCCCGCTGTCGATGTGTGGAGCGCTGCTTGTGTATACATGGAAATGTTCACCAAAAAGGCAATATTTCCTGGCGACGGTTCAGAGATCAATCAGCTCGATAAGCTCTACAATTCATTAGGCACTCCGACCAGAACAGACTGGCCTGCCATTATTGATATGCCATGGTTCGAGCTCATGCGACCTCGAGAAAGAAAGAAACGGGCGTTTGAAAATATGTATAAAGACTATCTGTCTCCCGCTGCTCTTGATCTTGTTTCCAAAATATTTCAGTATGACCCCGTCAAGCGCCCGTCAACCGAAGAAGTGCTCGCGCATCCTTACTTCACGGAGGAGGAACCGGCACCTCAACAAGCAATTGAGTAGGTTTTCGTCCACAATCAATTAATCATTTTACAACAGCTGCTGATATATTTATTTTTGAACAGGCTTGCTGATGTTGAGGGCGATTGGCACGAATTCGAGTCGAAGGCACACCGGAAAGAGAAAGACAAGGAGGCCCGACGGGCTGAACAGCGTGAAAGGGAAAAGCGAAGGATAAGCAACCATACTGGTGAAAGTGTTGATCGCGAGCGGAAACGTACCAAAGTGGATGATGATACATCCGCACCGGTGTCCCAAGGTCCTGAGAATTGATCAGAAGCTGGGTTGCTCGCACTGTGTCGTCCGAAAAGGTTGGATTTTATAAATGGGTTTGGTGAGCGTGTTTGTTTACCACATGGCATTCGGCGGCGTTCTCTATGGGATATCGGGCCCTCTACTCCGTACCGGCACGAGATTGCGCTTTTGTGATTTTCATTAATAACTATTATTTACCTGGCTTTTTACCTTTATTTATTTATTTTTTCTCTCTCTTTCTTTTTCTTTTTTTTAGAGGCTAAAAGGAGGCAAATCGACTTACTATCAACGTGAATGATGTGGTATTGGATTTTGCCATTCTAAGAGCTGGTATCATCAACCTCTTTTGGGGCAGTATGATGAGCTCACTTAAAGTGTTCGAGCTTTTTCAAGGAGCCATTAATTTAGCAAGTGGCTCTTGGTATCTGTGGTGATGTGCAAGGGATTCTGAGCACGTCTGAGCAGTGAAATTTACCAGTTCCACACAGTCAGCCAACCGGATGTAGAAAACCCTCTATTCTAGCATATCGACGACTTCGTAGTGACTTGGATCGCCAAAGGGTTTGTTGTTCTATATCACGCATGATGAATCCTGATTCAGAAACAGGTATAAGGTTAAAGATATGCAGTGCAAGGTGGACGAATGGGTTCTTGCATTTAAACAATAAAGTGATTTTACATTAAGCTTGGTTCATCTTCATATTTACCAATATTGTATAGATATATATATGTATTAGACCTCACGATCTATGGGGGGAATAAAGTCAAAGTAGAGCCACCTGCAAACAGCTTACAAAAACTAATCTCAACATCTGCCTCTTCACGCGAGTCATATCTTCGACCCATGCGGAGCGCCCAAATACTCACCCTTGACCACCGCAGATATTAACTGATAGGCGATCGCCGTCTTAGGCGGCAACCTCAAGCTACCCTTCTTATATTCCGGGCCCGGCTCAGCGCCCAGTGCGCTCGTGCCGACTCTCAGGGCCTCCTCAACCTCAGCGATCTCGAACCATTGCGCATCCTCCAACTCCGGATCATGCACGATACTAATCGTCTCATTTTCCGGCTTCGCCACTTGAGCGATAGCTCCAATCATCAGGTTCGCTGGATACGGCCACGGTTGCGTGCTGTGTATAATCACGCGCGACAACACCACGCCGGACTCTTCCCAGACTTCTCTACGCACGGCGTCCTCCACGGACTCGCCTGGCTCGATGAAACCTGCAAGCGTGGAGTACCAGTTTGGCGGCCAGCGCTTTTGACGACCGAGGAGGATGCGGTTGCCGTCGTGGCTGAGCACTGCGACGATAATGGTGGGGTCTGTTCGGGGGAAACAGAGGTTGGATAATGTGGTGCGCGTGTGACAGGGTGGGCGGGCGCCGTCCGAGGAAGTTCCGTTTTCGATGAGACCGAGGTCTATGGGTGGACAGGCTCGTTTGGTGCCGGCTTGTATGGAAATCGTTGGGTGGCCACAAGTGCCGCAGAAGGAGTTCCGGACGTTCCAGTCTATTATGGCGCGGGATTGGGCATAGATTGCGGCTGGAAAGGTGGAAAGAAAAAAAAAAGAAAGGCATGGGTATTTAGTTTGCTTCTTCCTCATCAAGGATAATACGTACCATCTCCTGGCGGAAAGCTAGTGATTGTCCGTGTGTTATAGAAAGATAGTCCAGTAGCTTCCAAGGTATCAATTATCCCTCTAGCCTTGTGCTCCAGTCCACCTTTCGGTGTTACGTCCAAGGCGAAATATGGAACGCCTACATAGTTCTTATACTTCAGTCCGATCTCTGCGCGCGATTCGTCTAATCCTAAAAACACCAGTAAAGGGAGCAGGGTGCCGGAATGGTAAGATTTGAGCACATCTTCTTCTGACTTGTCAAACATGTCCGCTGGCACAAGTGACTCGACATCTTTGTACGTGGCATAGAAGATTTCTGCCGGTGATCGTACGAGAGGTGCGAGCTGATTAAATAGTAAAAAGCGAGCTGTGGGATGTCTCAAGGCACTGGATAAGAACGGAGATTCTGACCGTAGGAACGAAACCCGGTTAAGAGGGGAACCTAGGAAGAGCAAAGTTAGAACCTTTAGGTTCAACACACCCGAAAATTTCAGTGATCTTACTTGAGAAATAATTTGCAGTTTCTTTTCCGAATTTGCGTGCGAGCATTGAGTCGTGCTCCAGGTGCTCTGGGCTTGGGTTCTCGGCAAAAGGGCGGGACATGACTTTTGGCCGGTGGAAGCGAGCGGAGAAAAGGCACAGAGAAACAGGGAACGTCAGGGTTATTCAGTGAGGTACGCGATCCATCAATCGAAAAAAGCTCGAAAATCCAGGCGTTTGGGGGTGCTAGAAATGAGAAATATAACCGGTCGTCGATGAATCTGCCGGATTTGTCATGATGGGCGTGTTCCCCACCGCCAATACCGTCATCCGCGGAATTGGGACAGGAAATACCGACTAAACCAGAGATGCAAAATCAGTAATACCGGAAAATCGGGAATGAGATATAAGGAGAATAACATTGATTCAAGATGGGATATTAGATGCAAAGTTCTATATACATAAATTATGAAGTCATGACCTGGTCAGTGGGAGTAGTTCGCGACGCCGGCACCAGAAACCAATTTTTTTCTTCTTAAAAAAAAGACGATGGCTTTGTAAACGCAAAAGAGAGTAGAGACCAGAATATCCGTCAGCCATACACGGAAATAAGTTCAAACCATGAGAATTAGGAGGTGAGATGAGTAAAATAGGTTCGTGGAAGGAAAGGAGACTGTTGCTGTACGAGAAGGACAGGGCGAATTAAGGAATTAATCTCTCCAAAACCAGCCACTTCGCTTGTGCTTATCTGAAGGAGTATTGGCTTCTGTGTTCGAAGTATTTCCGGTATCGCTGCCTTTGCTTGCGTCGGGATGTTTCTGGTACGACTGATCTCTGTTTGAGATTTCCTCGGTCTCGACGCTTTCCTCTCGACCGTCCGCAAATCGTTTATTTATCACCGTTTTCGTTTTAACCGTGCCATCCGGTAGCATACGACGTTCCGTGGTTGTAACGGTAGATACGATGGTCGAGGAATTTGATTCGGTCTCTAGATTAGTGGGGGGAGTCTGCGAAGTACCAGAGAACTGGCGCTCGTAGTGATCTAGTTCGGTTTCAGTGTCGTAGAGCTCCTTCATATTACCCATACCGTCGGTACGATCTGTATCTTCCCACAGTCTTCGTAGTTCTTCTAGTTCTTTCCTCTGTCTTTCCCTCATCTCCACGATGATGCTTAGAAGGGGACTTTGTCGGGTACGGTCGTCGTCGTGACTGACATCGTGGAGAAACTCATCGTAAAGATCAAGCTCGATGAATCCCTTATCATTGCCTCCGTTCTCTTCATCCCTTTGTTCGAGATCTGGTTGGAGAACCTTTGTCGACGAGGAGCGATCTTCGTAACTGTATTTAAAGTAATCGGGCCGTCCACCCTCTCCACGAACATGCTTCCAGCTAGCACCAAGGCTTCCCCTCTTTATCATTCCAGCCAGCCAATCCTTTCCCGATTCCTCTTTGTTCTGAACCATAGCGCTTCTGTCAAGCATTTCCTTACCATTTTCAATGCGCAGTAAGTCCTCGAAGGCATCCCGCCAGTGTGGCTCTGTAGTATGGTCGTCGGGGTGGGTGGGAAGTAGGGACGAAGCCCAAAATACCAAACCGTGGTCACAGGCCTTGCGACTGGGCTGATGCTGCTGGCGCTCTAAATGTAAGGGAGAATATGGTGAGAGTAAGATATAAGACATAGGCCAGCCGGCAGAGATAGCGGGGGACATTATATCGAAGAAAAATGGATTTCGGAGAGGGGAGGTTTCAGAAAAGAATGGAGACGGAGCGAAAGGCAGGTGGCTATCGAAAACGGCGTCGAAAACAGAGCACGGGAATGCATGGCTAGAATATCGATGGGCTCTAAGGCCCCAGGGATCGGCATGGCCTTGAATTGACCGGTCTTCGCGGTTTTCATTGTTTCCTAGGTCAGTGAAGCGGTTGGATCCGTGGGAATCGCGGTTGTTTGACTTGTTCAAATCCTCGTCCGCGGCGCGCCGCCAGTTTCTCATCAGCTGGCTCAACTCCTCATCGTTGAATATTAACCAATCCCTCGAGGATGGTGGAAATATAATTGAGGGAAGTCCAGTGATTGACTGTAGAAGGGACGATATATGCTCATCAGCGTAGCGGCGAAATGCTATGAACGGATTGTCTTCAGGCTGCTTCGGCCTGGCATCATTTCTCTGAGTGGGAGCATGCTGTCCATTGGAAGGACGATTTTCATCGTTATTGGATGGTGCCATGACGGGATAATAACCACTTCAAAGAGCTCCCTACCCTCGTGGTGGTTAGGTATGTAGTTACACGGTGGCTGCAGAGAATCCAATCCTCTTTTGTTGAGTTGTTTTGTTCCAGCTGGTGGTGATCCGGCTTGTGGCGAAGAACCATCGAGACACTCTTCATTACATAATTAGTCAACTAAACTAAACTAGTTAGTTAGTATTTTCCTCACGTGATTAGCGAATGCAAACACGGCAAACTTTGGGTTGCTTATCAATTCTGGTTACTAACCGATCCCGTGACCCCAAAACCTTGCCCACGTGACCGCTGATCGACTGCACTCGCGTCAACCTCCACTATTTACTACGGGTGGGATTGGCCGACGAGATGAAAGGGAAAAGGCTCCAACATGCACAACAATGTGTGTTTCACAGACGGCTGAAAAGAAAATATTGGGGCGGTGATGTTCGTTGCGACACTCCATGCTGGATTCAGAGTTTGTCCCCCGCCACAAACTCCCCCAGTCTTTCCGATCTGCATGTTGACGATCCTGGTCAATTGTAACGGAGAGTCTTTGATCGATGCAGGGTATTCCATGCTTCTCAGTGGCTTAAATCTCTTGGTTTTGTGGTCAGATGCTCATTCGAGTTTCTTTACCGAGCGCTCACTCTCTGACCGAAAATTTTTGGGGAGCAGTTAACTGCCTACCTGTCATGCCAGTTGTCCATGTATAGTGACTATATGTACTCCGTACCACGGAAACACATCCATACCAATGCAGAGAATAGGATTCCTACTCTCAAAAGTAGGC